CGCCCTACTAAGGGCATCTTTGTAATATCTCATCTTTAAGTTAAATATAAATATAATGAGGGGCTGGTGGCTAGGGTTAAGTTTCTCATAATCCTAGTTGACCTCCTACTCTTTTCTTCTCCTTCCCTCTCTACTGCTGAAATCTTCATCTTCCTCCTCTTTCTTTCACAAGAAGCTTGACCGAATCAGAAAATAGTGATCTCTACTATGCCAAATCGAAAGATGTCAAACTTAATAAAAATAACAAGGCTATTTTTAGGATAACAAGTTCTATCTTAAGAAAACTCTAAATTTGGATGTCAGCTCTAATCATGTAGATTTGTCTAGTAAATCTAAAGTCAAAAAAAAATCAAACTCATCTAAAAAAATATATGTTTTGTTCAATGTTCTCATTTTTGCAATTTTCTTCACAAAAAAAGAAATCCAACAAAAATCTCCATTTCTTGCAAGAGGCTTCAACACAAGATAGGCCCACACAACAAGGGCAAAATAGAACTTCAGAAGATAAATAGTAGTGCAGGGAGAGCAGAAGACGTCTCCATTAGCAGAATCTATAAATCTATAATAAATTGTGAAACTAATTAAAGCAAACGACATATACTCCCAATTCCTTAGCTTTAGAAGGAAAAAAGGAAAAAAAAATAGCAGAAAGAGTTTATCAATCTACAAAGAATCTGTAAATAAGAGGTCCCAATGACAGACCTCCAATTGCAAAAGGTTGCTCCAGAATTGTCCCACCAAGAGGCACTCCATATATTTTGCCTCCTTCATATTTGTCCCATCCACCAACAATCAGGCCAGTTTGTAGCATGTTCTGCCAAGTTCAGTATACAGCAATAAGGCAAATATTAAGTGCATAACACAAAGTATGCATAACCATCAGTATAACATTCAGAAAATAAATGGAAAATGACTGCATGTGTGAAGCTCCCTTGTATTTTTTCTTTATGAGTAAACAAAAAAATAATTAGCAGGATAGGAGCATATAAAATGTATAGAAAAATAGATAGGTAAAGGAGAGAACTTCAATGAAATGATAAGAACTGCAAATTATATATTGCCACCAACTTGGTATAGTCAGACCACATACTTGCAACTCCTTTTGCTATCAACTGGCTTGAGATGTATAAATTCAGCTGTTCCAAATTTTCATGCACAACCTCCCACAAATACTGCATTTAAGACTTATTTAATTTCAGGTAATGATGAGGGCCTATTTGTAATTCTGGCTATTTGTATGTGGCCTGTCCAACAAGCCAACTGGTACATGTAGCTTGTTCAATAAGCCAACTGATATATGGTTTGTTTGATAAGCCATCTGGTACAGGCTTATTTAAGCCATTGTTGATATTTTGTTATGGTGAGAGAAGTACTGGCTGGGGTGTACAGGAATTATTGGTTATTTCCCTAAATCTGTTATATGCTTCAAATTTTAATAGTGGATTTATACTCTGCTCTCTCTTCTATGAAACATAGATGCAGGCCTTAAGCTGAACCACATAAATCTGGTTCCCATTTTGTTTCTTATTGTGGTTTCTTATTTATGTTTCGAATTATCATTTCATCATTTGATTAAGATTTTATGGCTTTTGCATGCACTCTATAGACCTGGCTGTCTTGATCAGCTCAGCTCATTATGGGTGCTCATTAACCTCTCCTGCATTAGTGCCATTTTCTAATATGTGGTATTTACACCAAATTTATAAGATACAAATAAAAATGACAGATCAAACCTTATTATTATACGACAAAAGCCTGATTAGGTTTGCAGCAACTTTGACAGTTGCAGGCTGTCCCAGCTGTATCCTGCAACAAAAGGTAGTGTCTTGGTTAGCTCAGGGTCATTTAATGAAAAGATTAGGAATGGGATCTCTGACTGATGTCCCAAAAGTTAAAATTACATTCCAGCCTTTTCCTAGTCCCTGATCTGTCAACGTAACTGAAATATGCAATCTAGACCTTTCATAAGTGAGGCAAGAATCTATGGGAGATCATGCTATCCACTTAGGTTGTTGAGTGGAAAGGAACAAATGTACAGAATAAATAATGCCTACTTGTGAATTATGTCATGCACTTGTATCTACTTCACAATGTGCTCTCCATGCTGAGGAGCTTAGAGCAAGGTTTCAATTTAGACTCAAGACTAGGTTCTACCCAAACTCGAAGCTTAAGTTTTTGGTGTTTTCATAATATATATATAAGAAAAAAGAACATAAACACCAAAAGAAGCCTGAAACTGAAGCTTTTAAAAACGTTTACTTGTTTGAGTTTTTGCCATTTAACCAAAAATCACATTTGAACACATTTCTCATCATTTTTTTTTCCATTTTACTCCACATTTTCCCCTCCCTATCTTTATTCTTTTTTCTTTATTTCTGTGCATAACAAAAAACTGTATTTAGATAAAAGAATGAGTTCAAGAATGCAAAGATTGATACATATACATCAAGAAAAAGAAAGAGCTAACCCTACAAAAGAATTACAAAAAAGCACCACTTCTAGGGATGATCATAGGCCAGGCTTAACAACTGCATAAGGGCTATAGCCTGGGCCAGGCCTATAACTTTTTTTTGGTCAATAACCAGCAATTTACTAAGTACAAGTTGTGAAGTACACTTATGTACATGTTTTAAAAGACGTGAGAGGCATATGCCTGGAGGCATGCCTCAGGTGAGGCACGCCTCAGGTGAGGCACCCCCAAAATACCCTGAGGCTTATGCTAGAGGCCCACACACCTCATGTGCATAAGGCATGCTAGAGGTGCACACCTCATATGCCTCCTTGTGCTCAAGAGGCTTACACCTCTTATGTTCTGAACTACACCTCACACCTCCAGGCAGTGGAATGCCTGACGTCATGCCCCCGCGTTTTAAAACATTGGTACTACAAACACCCTTTCAAAGATGAGTCTTATCTCTACTTTCTCATTTTTTTGTCTCCTTCAATAATCAACATTTTCACATTCATCTTTTTCGCTTTTTGAGCACCTTCCATTACCACCACAATTCAGCTCTTAAAGAGTCCCCTACCCCAATCAGTTCCGAGAATAGTGCAAGTGCAACAACATGACCTTCCTCATGTCTGAAGACTCCCCCCACTCCTGAATTCCTTGGATTTCCCCAACTACTTCCATCAAAGTTTAGTTTTTAGGAAGCCTATCTCAGGTGGCGCCCAGCTCCTGTAGACTGCAGTTTTTTAGATGATGTGCTTGCCACTTCTCTCCAATTTCTAATAATATCATTTATTGAAAATGATAATGTTTTCAGCCAATGAGCCACTGTAGCAATAATGCACTCGATTATTGCCTCTTTACCCCTTTCTTTTTCCTTGAAGATTCTTGTGTTCCTTCCTTCCTATACCATCCAAATGATTGGTGCTCTGGTGCTTCTCCACATAATTCCTCCACTCTTCTTTGGCCAGTTTGTAAGAGTGAATAAGCTAGATATATTAGAAGGATATTCCAACTGCACTCAAATAAGAAAGAAACCAATCCCAAATACAAGAAACAAATGAGACAGGAGTTAGTAAGTATCATATTATATTATATGTCACATAATATGTGTACAAAATTTATTTTATACATTATATAACATAAAATATTATATATAACATGTATTATAAGTTTCATATATATTTTTTTGAGAAGAGATAAAGTAAAATATAAATATAACATAAAGTAACATATATAATATATATTATACATGTGCATATTATGTTATTTTATGTTATATTTTATATTTATATTTAACTATTATATATGAAACTTTACCTATCTTCCCATGTCTTCCTTATTTTCAACCAAATCAATGCAACTTTATTCTATAAAAACAAAAGGCCACGGAATTCCAAAAATTCCATTGGCAGAACTCAGATGTACAATGGATGGAGCTTTTCTACAGCACCTCATCAAGGTTTTGGTCCTTCTAAGGAAATCAAGCTAAAGTTCACAAAGTTTTTTTCTTGGGAACCATGGCTTGGTGGATATAAGATGGGAGTTCTGCAACAAGAATGCAAAAAATAGGTTTTAGTTACTAGTGTTGCACAGAGAATTTGGTTTTAGCAATAAATTGGATTACTATTAGAATTGCTCATTGGGAGTTTGGGACTGCATTAGAGAGAAGTTGGGAGACTTCACTACTGATGATATTGATTCTTCTTTTTTTTATAACTTACAGGTGATCATATCTACCCTAATCTTCCTCTTCCGAAGAGAACTCTTTTTTTTATTGTTACTGCAGAATTTTATTTATTTAAATAAAAGAATGCTCATTGCAACATGTCTAGCATCCCATAATGTGCGCTGGAGAACTACTAACCCTTTACACATTCCAATACATTACACTGATGCACAGAAAAATTGCTCCCCATCAACCCCTTGTTTGGCTAATGTATCAGCAAAGCTTCAAGATACATGTAATGGCATTTGGAGGCAGATTTGTGGGTGATGACGGATTGGATGAGTGAGGTGGAAGAATTTGGCAAAGAAGAAAAAGCTTCAAGACCAAAGACTCCAACCCACAACCAGGCCCAACCCAAAAGCACAAAACCGTACTATGAGGCCATATTGGTCTGAGGCAAGGATGAGCAGGGAAGCCTGCAGAGAACCTGCAGGGATTTTCAGAGCTACAAGCTTGTTAAAACAGCTCTCCCCGTAAACGCCAAACGCACATCCAGCCCATGGTTTCTTCACTAATAAACAGCAAGAACATCAAAATCACATACACCTAACCCTAACAATAGAACTGTAGAAATACAAAGAGTGAAGGCAACACCACCACCGTCGAACGCTATCAGACCTCTGCACTTTGCCAATCCAAAACACAAACCCTATTTGTAGGTTAATTTATAAAACCAAAAAAACTAGCTTATGAGGGGTAGAAAGATGTAGGCTTCCTATTTTTTATTTCATCACCTAGGCGAGGCCTAGGCACTTGGGCACCCCATGGTCACCTAGCCTCGCCTAGGCGCCTTGAAAACCATGTTTATAACAACTTCAATCTTCCAAAGTTTCTCAAAGGAAAATTCAATGAATGCAATTCAATGCCTTTCCTTTTTCCTTTTGTCTTTTTTTCATTTCATTTTTGTTTTTGTAAATAAGGAGGCCCTTGAGATATCAGTCTTGGCAATGGTGAAACATTTCTCTTTTGTATATGGTAGTGAACAAAACAGAATGGCGAAACAGGATTCATGTAACCGACCCCATATAGTTGGAACAAGGCTTAGAGATGATGATGATGATGAGGCATATAGTCCTCTCTCTGTATATTTTTGTAAATCATTCTTCCCCTTCTTTAGTAAAATTTGATTGTTATCCATAAAGATAAAGTAATAAAAAAAATCAACCTTCCAATCCCCCCAATGGACCAACCAAGACAATGAGAGGAAATCACACACACAAACTGAAACAGTGTGAATGTGAATAGACATTCATACTACTAGTGCAATAAGACAAAACCATGCCCAACTGGATAGGCTTCACCGTATGCTTTTAACCAGAAAAATATTAGGATTACAAGAGGATAAAAGAAGATGATACAAGAAAAGCGGCCAAAGGTTGGCCAATTCACGGTATGTCTAAAAAGGGGAAGATATGCTGGTCTTCAATTCCAGCTGCAGTTTTGTGGGCCGTCTGGCTGGAAAGAAATTGCAGAATTTTTGAACAGAATATGACTTCAGAAGCAGTAGTAATCAATGCACCAGTAGGTTTTTTGAAGAGCTGGTTGTCTGTCCATAATGTATTCAGAAATAAAAACTTTTCTTCTTCTTTTTTGAGAGTGGACTTTTTTGGAGGTTCCTAATGGTTGTTATGTACAGCCACTCATTGTACAAAGAACCTTATTTTGATATTAGTACAGACTACAGAATACTAAACTTTACCTTTCTCAAAAAAAAAAAAAAAAGAAAAGAAAAGAAAAGCGGCCAAAGGGAGATCTGGACTTGACCTAAGAGATCTGCCCACCCAAATAAGCATAAATAAAGAAGATATGGCTCTCAGGGGCAGAACCCCATATACAAATTGATCTAGTCTACCCTTTTACAGTTTGATATTATTTACCCAGATACAATGAGGACACAGCTAGACATAGTGTCAGATATAGAATTTATACTAAAAATTGAAATATCCTACATGATATGGCACCTCTATATAGGTATCCAAGTATCATAAATGATATCCAAGCCAGATTTAGTAACATTAAAAAATGTGACAAGAAACAGAAAAAAAAAACCACCCACGTGTGTTGCTGAAGAAAGTAGCGCACATAATCAGAAACAATTTGAGAATCTGCAGCCTGCAAATGATAAATGAAAACAAACCAGTACAAATTGGTAAGAGCAAGTGCATGATTTCTTGAGTTGTCAATGAATGTTATAACTCATTGACTCCAACATATGGGATATGTGATGCATAAAATAGGATTATATAATAAGCAAGAACTAGAAGACCACAGGGACAATAACAATATCTCTTTCCTAAATGCAACATGCATGCTTAGAGAATAAACAAGTAAAAGGGAAAACAGCATTCTTCCAATGCTTTGAAGTAAGGTAATTCCAATTTCAACCTAGGTTTCAAATTCCTCAAAAGAAAATTTTTACAGAAATTTCTCCAGAATTTTTTGGTCCAAATCTAAGAATATGAGAAAACTTCTACATGTATGATTAGGCTACAAGGTATTCAAGAAGATGTGGTTGCAGTTGAAAGAAAGGATGAGAGAAGTTATTCATTTGGGCACTCATTTAATGCAGTGGACTGTATCCAATTCATTGACATGCCCTCCTGTTTGCTGTGACATGGTAGCGAGAGTTAGGGGAGGACTGGATGGGTTAACAGAGGACATTTGGCATACAGAAGAGAGGCAAATAGGTCCATTTACTTGTTATACTTTTATGTATAAATGAAACTTTTGTTCCCACAATTTGTGCAGCAGACTTCTCTCAATTAATTGAGGATAATCCTAGGTGTGAATATTCTTGTCAGTAGACCTTATCTACCACTTTGTGAACAAATAATTTCAAAAGATAAGAAAAGCAAGCAAGTTCCAATATAATTATATCCAGCATAAAGCAGTCAGATGGAAAAGTTGCTCGATGAGCAATTAAGCTTTCAGAATCATAGTTTTAAATAAAGTTCTGGTTTCAAAATGGGTTAAGAACAGAAAAAAAAAAAGAAAAAAAAAAAGCTTTTTACAAAATCTTTGGTAGAACCTTGCTATTTTGGTCCAGAGTCCAGACCCAACAACGTTAAATCCCAATAATAATGTAACCATGTTTCTAGCACAATAATCCCTCATCCTGCTTATTCTCTGTTCTTTTCCATTCTCTGTTGTTTCAAGGTGATGCTAGGGAGTGATATGGCCCTTTATGGAGTGAAATGGTGAAATAGGATTCATGTAGCCAACCCCAAATGGTGGATATCTGGGTAAAAGGTTTTGTTGAGTTGGAGCGGATGTGATAAAAACATTCAAGTGGGGAAAAAACTAAATAATTCCACTTTCAACAATTTTGCTTCCTGGCTTAACTATTTAGGTTTTTTATAGTCATCATACTAAATCTCATAAAGCACTTCTTTTTTTTTTATCAATAATCATAAAGCACTTCTTGTTCATATTTACATCAAGCATTTATATTATACAGCAGCTAGGACATCTTTTCAGATAAAGATGAACAAGAAGATGACA